CCTTCCCTCTCCCCTCTCTCCCATCTCCCCTATCATCTCCCCTCCCACTCTAACCCCTTCTTAATCCCTTCCCTCTCCCCTTACCCCTCTCCCTTCTTCCCTCTCCCTACAATCACCTTTCTCTTCTTCCTTCCCTTCTAGGTATGTCTTCCTCCCTCCCTCCCCCCCCTCCCTTCATTCCTTCCCTCCTCCTTCCCTTCCCCAACATTCCTGCTTAGTCCGCTTTTCTGTTGTGTGGTGATGTTGGTGATGTTCTTGGTGGTGATGTTAGTGGTGGTGATGTTAGTGGTGGTGATGTTAGTGGTGGTGATGTTAGTGGTGGTGATGTTCTTGGTGGTGATGTTAGTGGTGGTGATGTTAGTGGTGGTGATGATGTTGGTGGTGATGTTAATGGTGGTGATGTTAGTGATGTTGTTGGAGTTTTCACAGCTGCTGTTCTTACTGCTACTGTTTCCTTGGTGATGCTGTTGTTGACATTATCTCTCTCTCTCTCTCTCTCTCTCTCTCTCTCTCTGTAATTACATGCACGGCTGCGTTCTCTCCGGGGTTTCATAATAGTGAGACATATTAGAGAGATAATAATCAATGGTAGCCTGAATATACACTAGTGAGAGATATTAAAGTAATCAATGGTGAGAGACAGTGGAGAGATAGTAACCACTGGTGAGAGACAGTGGAGAGATAGTAACCAATGGTGAGAGACAGTGGAGAGATAGTAACCAATGGTGAGAGACAGTGGAGAGATAGTAACCAATGGTGAGAGACAGTGGAGAGATAGTAACCAATGGTGAGAGACAGTGGAGAGACTTTCACGACAGTATGAGTCCTAAACGCAGGAAGTAAGGAGATAACAGGGAAATGGAGGGTAATAAACGAAGGGCATAAAGAGAGAGGGAGAAGGAGAGAGGTAGAGTGGGAGAAAGAGAGGGAAAGAGAGAGAGGGGGAGAAGAAGAGGGGAAAGAGAGAGAGGGAAAGAGAGAGAGAGGGGGAGAGAGGGAGAGGGGGAAAGAGAGGGCAGAGAGAGGGGGAGAAGGAGAGGGAAAAGAGAGAAAGAGGGGAGAGAGGGAGAGTGGGAAAAAGAGAGGGAAAGAGAGAGAGGGGGAGAAGGAAAGAGAGAGGGAAAGAAAGAGAGGGTTAAGGAGAGAGGGAAAGTGGGAGAAAGAGAGATAGAGAGAGTATAGCCACTGATTGAACGTTGTCAAGGAGTGGGCTGGAAAACACGTACCTGAGGAGGGAGGAAGAGGAAGGAGGAAGAGGGGGAAGAAGAGGGGGGAGAAGAGGAGGAAGGAGACGAGAAAATAGGAAAGGATGAGAAGGAGGAGGAAACCGAAAAGAGGGGGAGGAGAAGGAGGAAGAGGAGGATGATATAAGGAGGAGGAGGGAGGAGGATAAGAAAAGGGAGAGGAGGAGGAAGACGAGAAAAATGAGGAAGAAGAGGAGGAGGAGGAGGAGGAGGAGGAGGAGGAAACGAAGCTCTTCTGGAGTGTTCTAAGCTGTTGTTGTTGTTTGTTGTTGTTGTTGTTGTTGTTGTTGTTGTTGGAAAATCTCTTCTTCTTCTATTTCATTTTTCTTTATCACCCCATCTCCTCCTCCTCGTCCTCTTCTCTTCCTCCTCCTCCTCCTCCCCTCCTCTTCCTCCTATCCTTCTCTCTCTCCTTCACTTCCCTCTTCTTATCCCTCCTCTCCTTCTCCTCCGTCTCTCCTCCTCCTCTCTTCTCCCTCTTTTCCACACACCCCAACTCTCCTTCTCCCACTCCCTCTCCTACCCCGTCCCCCCTTCCCTCCCCCCTCCTCTCCCCCATCATCACCCCTCGAAGGACTCCTTATTTACACTCTGTAAACACCGTGTAAATGACTGTAAATCACAAGGTATAAATAGCTTTCACAATAACAAGGGATAAAGACTAAGGGGAATGGCGTGATTTACAGTATAAATAACATTTAGCCTAATTGAACTTAACCTAACCTAACTCATAGGTTAAATAACTCAATAAATAACACAGGTAAAATATTTCATCAATAACACAGTTTAATTCAGGTGCTGTCTGTCTGTCTGTTTGTCTTTCTGTCTGTCTCTGTGTGTGTGGTACACACACACACACACAGACAACACACACACACACACACACACACACACACTACAGCCTCGGTGGTTCGTCTGATTAATGTTTCCTCTCGTGTATATTCGCCCAGGGTTATTCACTTCTCATATATACCTAACATTATTCCTCTATATTATACCATTTATATATATACTGTATATTCCTCTGACATTACTGACATATATACTGACATATTCTGTTATATAGAAATTTCTGACATAGTTTCCGTCAATTTTTCTTCCGTTTATTCGTTTAAATGGAATAACAACAACAACAACAATAATAATAAGTATCAACAACAATAACAACAGCAAAAGCAACATTATAATCAACACATCGTTTTTCTTGGTGTGTATGTGTGTGTGTGTGTGTGTGTGTGTGTGTGTGTGTGTGTGTGTGTGTGTGTGTGTGTGTGTGTTGCTTCAGCCTTACACACAAACACTCATCACATTTTTACCCTCTAAGCTCAACGTAAACACAAGCGAGTTATTACCTTAAGCTACGACACAAAGTTGGATTCACATAAAGTTCGTAATATTAATTTTTTTCCTGTAAATAAAAGATGTAATGACGTAAGATGGATTCTCATAGGATCTTTGGATATAGTTTTACTCTTAATGTATCCAAAAGTAATGGATTTGGATGCTGTGAGTCGAAGGTGGATATTATTTTTTTTTAAGGTAAGTAATGTAAAAATTTGACGAGTATTGATTGTTAGGTTAGGTTTGGCTTTGGTCAGATCAGGTTAACTTAAATTAGGTTTAGATCAAGTTAGGTTAGGTTCAGGTCAAGTTAGGTTAGGTTAGGTTAGGTTAGGTTAGGACAGGTCAAGTTAGGTTAGGTCAGGTCAAGTTAGGTTAGGACAGGTCAAGTTAGGTTAGGTCAGGTCACGTTAGGTTAGGACAGGTCACGTTAGGTTAGGTCAGGTCAGGTCAAGTTAGGTTAGGACAGGTCAAGTTAGGTTAGGTCAGGTCACGTTAGGTTAGATCAGGTCAGGTCAGGTCAAGTTAGGTTAAGTCAGGTCAAGTTAGGTTAGGACTAGGGCCCATTTGACCATCAGACTGGGCAGCTTACAGTGCTCAAGAGTAACCACTTAAGACCTATTATGTCCACACGATCGATTCTCTCTCTCTCACATACCCTCCCACTCTCTTCCACCATTCTCCATCCTCCCCCCTCCATTCCGCCGTTTTCTATTCCTTTTTCGCCTCTTTCTCTCTCTCTCTCTCTCTCTCTCTCTCTCTCTCTCTCTCTCTCTCTCTCTCCACCATTCCCCATTCCCCTCGGCTCCTTTCCCTTCCTTCATTGACTATCTCTCTATCTCTCGATCTTTCTCTCCCCTCCCTCCATTTCTCTTCATGGTTCTTATTGGAGGATGACGGGATAGAAGGGAAGAGAGGGAAAGACAAAGGAAAAGATTGACAGAGATGTACAGAGAACGAAAGAGAAAGAGAGAGAGAGAGAAAGTGAGTGAGAATATCCCCCAAATTAGTGGAGCAAGAGAGAGAGAGACAAAAAAAAGAGAGAAATGAGAGTCAAATAAGAGAGAGTGAGAGAGAATATGAGACAAAAGAGTGGTGAGAGACAAGAGAGAGAGAAAATCGAAAAAAAGAGAGAAAAAACAAAGTGGAAAAGAAAAAAGAAAATGGAAGGAGGGGAGACTCATGAATTTTTACTCTAGTCAGGAAACTGAGAAAAAAAAAACAGGGATTTGAATCTTTCATGCATCATCTGACATTTTTAAAAGGGGAGGGAAGGGAGGGTATAGGGGGAGGGAGATAGGGGGTAGAGAGGGAGATAAAAGGGAGGTGGAGAGGGAGAGAGGGGTATATAGAGGAGGGGGCGGGAGGGGAGAGAAACGGGAGATAGGGGGCCGGGGGAGAGATAAATGGGAGGGAGATAGGGAGCAGCAAGGAGATAAAGGGGGCAGCAAGGAGGGAGATAGGGAGCAGCAAGGAGGAGATAGGGAGCAGCAAGGAGGGAAGGAGACAAAGAGAGTTAAAAGTTAAAACAAGAAACTCCTCAGCACAATGCTATCTTCGTCCAGGTTTTTGAGAGAAAGAGGGGGAGAAAAGAGAGAGTCACAGATGGGGAGAGAAAGAGAGACACAGAGAGGGGGAAAAGAGGAAGGGAAGGAGGGAATTGGAAGAGATAGAAAGCTATACAGACAAATAGAGAAGATAGAGGGAGAGAGAGAGAGAGAGAGAGAGAGAGAGAGATCTAAGTTTAGCAATCTCATGGAGGAGGGAGGTAAAGATGAATTAGAAATCTTAAAGCAAGGCCCCTCGTTGTCCAGTTTTTAGGAGAGAGAGAGAGAGGAGGGGGGGGGCGGGGGCAGTATATCCCTTAGGACTGACTTCATTAAGGGTCCAGCCCAATTTTGATGATTAGGTCAGGCCAGGTCACGTTGGGTTAAGTCAGGCTGTGTTAAGCCAGACTGCTAGGTCTTTATTAATACTGGAGGACCATAGACCGGGTGACCGCTCATTAGGGGAGAGGGGGAGGGGGTAGGGAGAGGGGAGATGGGGGTGGGAGGGGGGTAGGAGACGAGAGGGAAGGAGATGAAAGAGGTGTGAAGGGTGTGTGGGGGGTGAGGGGGTGGAGGTGAGGGGGGTGGGGGACGAAGGGGTGGGAGGTGAGGGTTGGGGACGAAGGGTGGAGGGAGGGGTGGGGACGAAGGAGGTGAGGGGTGGGGACCAAGGGGCAGTGGAGGGAGGGGGGGTGTAATGAAGGGCAGAGGTGAGGGGTGGGGACGAAGGGGTGGAGGGGTTGTGGCGTGATGGGGTTGGAGGGGAAGGATAGGAGGATGGAGGGAAGGAGTTGGAAGAGGTGTGAAGGGTGTGTGTCAGGGGGTAAGGGGTGGAGGAAGTGGGTGGGTGGGGGGGGTGATAAAGGTTCTATTGAAGAGCTTCTCTGGACACGGTCGGGTACGTCTGAATACGTCTAGACGAGCGTGGACATAGCTGGACAGGTTTGGACATGTCTGGACGTGTATAGACCCGTTGGAAATGTTTAGGAACGTCTGAAAACGTTTAGGAATGTTTGGGTTTATGTTTTTTGGTGCTCCTGGACATGTTTGGACACATTTGGACATGGTTGGATATATATGAATGAGTTTGGGTACGTCTGGACACAATTTAGACACGTTTGGACATAGTTGGATATGCACACACACACACACACACACACACACACACACACACACACACACCACAGTCAGCTTTGATCATCACCACGACCTCAGCTAACGAGATCGGATACTAATAATACCGCAGGAGGAGGAGAGAGAGGGGAAGGGGTGGAGGGAGAAGTAGGGGATACATAATACTTGGTCTGTACAATGATCCTACGTTAAAATTTCCTCCTAACTGATTATGTAAGAACGTATTTAACTGCCTCACTTAAGTTACGACAAAAAAGATGGATTATCAAAGATTCAAATACGTTCTCACATCACCAGTTAGAAGAAAATTGTAACGTGGGAACTTAAGAGAATCAACATTTTTGTCGTAACTTAAGTGAGACAGGTGGGTGAGACAGGTGGGTGAGACAGGTGGGTGAGACAGGTGGATGAATTCTCGCATTTTCAATTACGCGTAAATTTAGGTGCAGGAACGATAGGGAATGAGGTCAGCCCAGGTAAGTGTGTGGACCATTATACAGTTAGGTAGGTGAAACATTACCCTAATTATACCTGGTTGGTCTCTCTCTCTCTCTCTCTCTCTCTCTCTCTCTCTCTCTCTCTCTCTGTCTCTCTCTCTCTCTCTCTCTCTCTGCACGAGGTAACTATGTTAATAATGTGATTAAGTCGCCGTGTATTTGTGAATAAGAGAGAGAGAGAGAGAGACAGAGAGACAGAGACAGAGAGAGAGAGATAGACAGTCAGCAACAGGAAATGAAAGAGAGAGACAGACAAAGAGACAGAGACAGACAAAGAGAGAAGGAGAAAGACAGACAGATAAACAGAGAGATAGAGAGAGAGAGAGAGAGATAGAAACAGTTACCTCCAACACGGCGGCACCTCACCACCAACTCGTCTCTCACAAGTCTCTCAGGCGAGATACTGTCCAACTAATCTCACTTCAGGAACACATGAGACAACACCCCCCTCTCCCTCCTCTTCCTCCTCCCTCCTCTCCCCTCTTCCCCCTTCCTCTTTCCCCTCGCTTTTCCTTTCCCTCCTACTTTTCCCTCCCCCCCTCCCTTCCCCCCTTCCCCTTCCCAACAATATAACACGTAGATCACACAGTCACAATGGCGTCCAAATTACTCTATGACTACACTCTAACTATAAACCATCTCTAACTTTAACTTAAGATACAAATAAATAAAACTTACGATCCTTTAAGAATTCAACACGAAAAAATCCACCATGATTCATATTGTAAACCATCTCCAAGGGGTACCAATATGGCGTACCAAATACCCAGAGACTCTACCATATATTTATATTCTTAGGGAGAATAAATTTTTCACATTAAGAGCCTCTTGAGAATCTCGTTATAAGACTCTTGAGATCTGAGCTTGTCAGTCTTTATAGTGATGTCTTAAGAATTACTTGGCAAATTCTGTTACCGGAGGACGTGTTAGCTGAGGTGATATTAGCTTATGGTTCTGAGTGAGTTAAAACGTTTAGCTTCTGTCGTTATGTTGGGAGGGGGAGAGGAGAAGGGATGGGATGGGAGGGGAGAGGAAAGGGGAACGGGGAGAGAGGAAGGGGCTGCAGAGAGGGACATATACGAGAGTAACCCCCCCCCCTCTCTCTCTCTCTCTCTCTCACACACACACACACACACACACACACACACACACACACACACACGACGTAGGTGATTGTACCCAGCAGTTTATGTCACCCTGAATTATTACACCTTTATCTTTCTATCTCTCTCTTTTCTTCCGTTTGTTGTATTTTTTCTCTTCTTCCTCCTACTCCTTCTCTTCTTCTTCCCCCTCCTCCTCCTCTGCCCCTCCCCCTCTTTTCCCTCCTCCCCCTCCTCCCCTCTTTCCCTCCCTACTCCTCTTTCCCTCTCTTCCTCCTACTCTCTTTCTCTTCTCCTCCTCCAGACATAAATGTAACAGACACAGTGATAAAAGTGAAAACGTAATGGAGGAAGAAAGACCACCCTCTCTCTCTCTCTCTCTCTCTCTCTCTCTCTCTCTCTCTCTCTCTCTCTCTCTCTCTGTTTATGTACCACAGATCATCACACACACACACACACACACACACACACACACACACACACACACACACACACACACACACACACACACACACACACACACACACACACAGTACATTTGGAATCCATCTTTATACCGTTGGTTATATGAGTCAGATATGCCCTCACAACACTAGTTAAGGAACAAAACCAGTTCATACATCAGCTAGGAGTTAAAAATCTCAACATAGGATCATCTAACAATGTACCTTTTGTACGATTTAAGTGACCCAGGTTAGAATCTCACCCACATTACCAGGTAGAAGAGTAATTAACACGAGAGACCTTTGAAACGACAGTGTTAGCATGTCTAGTTTCTCTTCTTTACAAACTTCCTCAGCAACACAGAAGAGTATCATGGCTTATTCTAGGTTTGCGAAGACTTATTTACCGTATGGACCTTCCCTCTCTCCTTCCCGTTCCCTTCCCGTTCCCTTCCCGTCACAGCCCACCTCCCTCCCACCCCCAACTAAATCCAGGTCAAGCAGAGGTGTTATATCAAGGTGGTGGTGGTGGGGTTTTTCCGGGTCGTGTTGTAAACTATATACACGGTAAAGTTCTTAGATCCTTAACTTTTATCTTAACTGGGAGACTTGAGGACACATCTGGTTTAAGTTATGATACTAAGATAGATTCTCAAAAGGTCTTAACTCCTCCTCCTCCTCCTCCTACTTCTTCTTCCCCTCCTCCTCCTTCTTCTTCACATTCTTATTCTCCTCTCCTCCTTCTTCCTCTCCTCCTTCTTCCCCTCTTCCTCATTCTTCTTCTTCCCCTCTCCTTCTCCTCTTCCTACTCCTCCTCATTCTTTCTCTCTCCCCCTCCTCCCTCTCTTCCTCCTCCTCCTCCTTCCCCTCTCCTCCTCCTCCTCCTGAGAACGTAACTAACTTGCTCTCTTAAGGCAAGACTGTATAAATTCTCATAGGATACTACGACAATTTTTCCCCTTGTAAATAAAAATAAACGTATAATGAAGTACACTAAGGCACAGTGCCAATATAAATACACTGGCACTAATGGCACCATGTGAAAACAGCTATACCATAGAAAACTGATGTATATTATGGTACAGTGCCATTGTAAGGACACACAGCCATAATGTACTGATGGTCCTGTGACAAAGCCGCCATAAAGCACTAAGGTATATGATAGAGGCGCCGGACACTGCTGGGCCAAGAGCGGTAAAAATATAGATGATAGAACTGTCCACATATCATAGATCCCTGAAGTATACGGCGCTGAGGCTGTGTGTGTGTGTGTTCAAAGATTCGTACGTCATTTGTTTTATATTGGAATAACCTGAGGAATAGATGCCCTAACTTATTTTCATCTGATTATTAATCATCCTAACGCTACCTGGGGTTAGGTTAAATTAGGTTAGGTTAGTGTAAGGGTGTTTAATCTTCAGGTTAGATAAGCTAGGGTGTCTATTTAGGTGATTCGATTTAAAAAAATGACGAACGAATCTTTGAGCACAGACAGCCCCAACGCCATATACTTCAGGGATCTATGATATGTGGACAGTTCTATCATCTATATTTTTATCTCTCTTAGCCAAACGATGTTCTCACCTAACCTAACCTAACTTAACTTAACCTAACCTAACTACCCAGAGACAGTGTTAAGATAGTTAAGTTAGGGTTAATTAGGGTCGTCTGCCCCCATAACTGCCTCAGGGCCCAGAGACGAAATGTTATTAACTTAGTCATGTTGTTGAGGTAAGGATAACCCCCTTTACCTGGTCCCCCTACCTGGTCTCCCTACCTTTCCCCCTACCTGCCCCTTATCTGCCCCCCTACCTGCACCCTACCTGTTCCCCCTACCTGGACCTCCTAACTGGACCCCCTACCTGGTCCCCCTACCTGGACCCCCTACCTGGCCCCTACCTACCCCTACCCCTGGACCCTACCTGGACCCCCTATCTGGACCCTACCCGCCCCCCTACTTTCCCCCTACCTGGCCTCTACTGGACCCTACCTGTTCCCCCTACCTGGACCTCCTAACTGGACCCCCTACCTGGTCCCCCTACCTGGACCCTACCTGGCCCCTACCTACCCCTTACCTGGACCCTACCTACCCCCTATCTGGACCCTACCCGCCCCTACTTTCCCCTACCTGGCCCTCTACTGGACCCTACCTGGCCTGTACTAGATAAGGGCCTCTTTTCCGCCTCAGGGAACCAAACGAGGTTATATTTTATCACATTTTTCCCTAATTTGGCTTCGTGTTTTTTTGACCGTGTTTTAGTTTCTATGTTTTTATCGTTTTTTTTTCTTTATTTTTTTCATCCGTTCGTCTATTTATGTTTCTATCCATTTATTTGTACTTATACTCATTTTCCTTACATTTATTTATTTATTTTCTGTATATTTATTCTCCATTACTATCATCATCATTATCACCACCACCACCACTACCACTATCACCACTATCACCAATAACCCTATCATCACCATCCATTATCATCCACTATCATCCACCACACACCACCACCACTCCACCACCACACCACCACACATCACCACCACCACACCACCACCACACCACCACCACACCACCACACATCACCTTTAAAACTCATCCAAGTGCAATTTAATAGACTCGTCAACAAGGCAAGGTATACAGCCATCCTTTCTTCCTTTTACAATAATTCCATTCATCTCGTCTCTCATCTGGGAGGCTCAAAGGCGTGTCTTGTCCTACTCGTCGACAAAAACCTTCGTCAGGATACGTCAGAATACGCCAGGATACATCAGGATACATCAGGATACACAAGTTTCTCAGACAAACATTTATTCACCATTATAAAAGTCTCCGTTTAAGATGCTGAAGCAATTTGTGTACGTTGGATCTGGATGGATGTGAATATACGTAGGAGGAGGTGACTTGTTCCACTGAATATACGTAGGAGGAGGTGACTTGTTCCACTGAATATTCGTAGGTGGAGGTGACTTGTTCCACTGAATATTCGTAGGTGGAGGTGACTTGTTCCACTGAATATTCGTAGGTGGAGGTGACTTATTCCACTGAATATTCGTAGGTGGAGGTGACTTGTTCCACTGAATATACGTAGGAGGAGGTGACTTGTTCCTCTGAATATTCGTAGGTGGAGGTGACTTATTCCACTGAATATCCATACGAAAGATAAGAAGATCCACTGAATATTCCTCTCCCTGGAACTGAATAGAACTGAATATTTCCAAGAGGAGTAGTAAAGGGATCCACTGAATTCAATACCAATTTGTTGACTTGGGATCTGAATAAGGGTGAATATTCCGAGAAGAGTCGAGAGGTTCCACTGAATATTCCCCCTCTTGGCGTCTTAGTGATGGAGGTTCAGTAATGATGCAGGTGAGGGTGGAAGGAAAGTCACAGCTTGGGATTGGAAGGAAAATACAACTATTATTTTTTTTTACTTTCATTCGAGTCAAAATAAAAACTAAAAATATCTGGTGAATTTTTTGGGGGGGCGATGCTGAGAGTATTTTTTTCCTTTTATTTATTTATTTATTTATTTATTTGTTTACGGTAAAATATTTGTCATTCGTGTCGGGCATAAAAAAATAAATTTGGAATGGTGATTTATTTTTTTTTTGATGTGACACTTTTTTTCTATTCTATCTAACTATCTATCGATCTATCTATCTAAAGAATGCTACAGAAGCTGACATACCCGAGAGGGGGAGGGAGGGGGAGGGAGGGAGGGAGGTGGGGAGGGGACTGCCACAGATAACAGTAATGGTTCCTTCTCAGTACAGTTGTCTCACTTAACTGGCAGCTGTCCTAAATTAACCCATGTTTAGCCCTTCTGAGTAATGGGGTGTGGGCGGGGTGGGCGGGGAGATGGGGGTGTGGGTGGAGAGGTGGGGAATTGGGATATAGAAGGTGTGGGTAGGGAGATGGAGTGGGGTAAGTGGAGTGGGAGGGGTATGAGTGGGATGTGAGTGGTTAGGGCCTTGTGGGGATGGTGTAAACAAGAAGGGTTAAGACCAAGGGATTAACCAGACCAAGGGATTAACCAGACCAAGGAATTAACCAGACCAAGGGATTAACCAGACCATGGGATTAACCTTAATTACACTAACGAGTACCAGACGAGAGAGAGTTTGTTTACATTATTTAAAGAGACAGAGAGAGGCGGCCCCACCATCGTTCATTCATAAAACTGTGTCACTGTTTGGCATGTGTGTGTGTGTGTGTGTGTGTGTGTGTGTGTGTATGTGTGTGTGTGTGTGTGTGTGTGTGTGTGTGTGTGTGTGTGTGTGTGTGTGTGTGTGTGTGTGTGTGTGTGTGCATCTATGTTTAGCTTATAGTGAGGATAATTAATGATGATTTACACACACACAGCCAGACAGACACACACACACACACACACACACACACACACACACACACACACACACACACACACACACACACAGTCCGAGAAGGGTGACTGAATTACTCAAAATTAACCCAAATTGTACATCAGTCTTGCCAGTAAAGTTATTAAACTATGCTGTGGGAAAAGAGTATCTGAAGTATAGGAACAACAAAACTTTCCTTAACTCACACACACGACACAAAGTCTTCATAAAGTGGTCCTCTTAAACCACAGTCGCCGCTCCTGTTGATAAAACACCCTAAAGCTAACCTAACCTATCCTAATGTAACCTAATCTAACCTAACGCTAACCTAACCTAACCTGTTGCAAGAGTTAACGTGGTGTGAGAGTTGGTGTGACTGTGTGAGTCTGAGAAAGCTCATCTCTTTGCCCGGGGTCATAACGGGACGCCCTGGAGTACACCATGACGTCACCAGATACATGACATCACGATCCACACGTCACGGAATAGTTAAATAGCGTCTCCAAATTAATGACGTCATAAAACACATCCACTCCTACATGACGTCACGAGTTAGTTTCACATGGCATTTTCATATTAATGACGTCACAAAACACACACCAATCAAGAGCTATATGACATCACGGAATATACAACGTCACGAAGGATATGACGTCACGAGGTTCATGACCCCCTCCTATAAATACGATTATCTTTGTTTACACTTAAGTTCAGGTTAATAGAGGTTAGGTTAGGTTAGGTTAGGTTAGGTTAGGTTAGGTTAGGTTAGGTTAGGTTAGGTTAGGTTTTCCCACCATAACTGAAGACTTAAAAACGTATCTAACTAACCAACTTAACTTACAAAACAAAGATGGATTCTCAAAAGATCTTACGTTAAATTTCTTCTTCCCTCTTCCTCCTTCTCCTCTTCCTCCTCCTCCTCCTCCTCCTCCTTTTCCTTCTCGTCCTCCTCCTTCTCCTCCTCTTCCTTCTCCTCCTCTTCCTTCTCCTCCTCCTCCTCCTCGGTAGAAACGTTTGAGAGAATGATTCCATTTACAGTAGAGTCTCAGCTTAATTTTGATTCATGTAGAAGGGGAGGAAGAGAAGAGAGGATGATGAAGGAAGGGGGAGAGGGGGAGAAAAGGAAGAGAGGGAGGAAAAGAAGAGAGGGCAGGAGGTAGGAATTTAACATAAGACACTAAGAGAATTATGACTCAACCTCCTAATGATGATAGTGTGTAGAAGGTATGGGAGAGGCTGTATGATCGTCTATAACTGTGTGTATGACTGTATGAGTGTATGAGTGTATGTGTGTATGAGTGTATGTGTGTATGTGTGTATGTGTATGAGTGTATAACTGTATGTGTGTGTGTATGACCATAAGTAGATGACTGTCTGTGTGAGTGGATGACGTTAGATTGGCCATTACGACTCGCCTCATAGACTCAAGCAGTTAACCCACACACTTCCTCTCTCTCTCTCTCTCTCTCTCTCTCTCTCTCTCTCTCTCTCTCGTCAGAAAGTAGAACGAGCGTGTAGGGAGAGACATTCCTTCACCACTAAATCTCTCGCTACATCTTTTTTAGTCAATTACCATTGGTCACTCTCAGGGATGGATGGTTTAAGACAAGTTTTAAGTGGTTTCTGCACGCACACTTTATGCTATGTGATTGTCGTCAGCTGTACTGTCTGACGGCTGACGTTACTCGCGTGTATATACATTTAAGAGGTGTATAACCGTAATAATCACGATCTTCTTTTAACTATACATGATTTAGTATACATAGAACAATTTCATACACAGAAAGTAATATTTAAGCTTGTTTATTCGTTTACATATGTATATCTATATTAGTGCGTATAACACCAAAATATCCTTGATCTTGTTATAGATAAGAGTATATATGAATAATGTATTTTAATTATACCAACAAACATACAATGGTGGTAACGCCTGTATACCATTTACAGAGTATGATATACACGTTTTAACATCTATACAAGGGGGCGTATAACCGCGTATCCAGGACGACCTTGGCGTATGTGGTAGATAAACAAGACCAGGTCGTAAAGTCGTCCAGGGGTCATGTGTAGCTGTCCATGGCGGGTCGTCAATCACCATCATGGAGAGTACTGTCACGACCTGGGTACTGGTTGTTAATGTTCAACCACCACAACTACCACTACAACTACTATAAATTCAGCTACCACAACTACCACAACTATATCTACCATTACAAGCTTCGAGGGGTGTGACAATCAACACAACCACTACTATCTCTCTCTCTCTCTCTCTCTCTCTCTCTCTCTCTCTCTCTCTCTCTCTCTCTCTCTCTCTCTCTCTCTCTCTCTCTCTCTCAACTTTAGCCTCCCGCCTATGTCAATCAACGCGAACAAGAGGATTTATGAAACTACAAACCTCTTAGAGTATTATGGTGGTAGTGGTGGTAGTAGTGGTGGTAGTGTGGTGGTAGTGTGGTGGTAGTGTGGTGGTAGTGGTGGTAGTGGTGGAAGTGTGGTAGTGTGGTAGTGTGGTGGTAGTGGTGGTAGTGTGGTAGTGTGGTGGTAGTGGTAGTAGTGTGGTGATGGCTAGGGTGACTTTTATGTGTGTGTGTGTGTGTGTGTGTGTGTGTGTGTGTCGATTTTGTTTACACACAAAGGTATACACAATAAAACACACACACACACACACACACACACACACACACACACGGACAACCTGTAACCATTAAGGAATTGACCATAAGAAACGGGAAACGAAGAAATAAATGAGGAAATGGGAAGGAATGAAATAAAGAGAAAGAATAGGAAATGGATAATTATAAGAAGTATTTAGGAGAAGTAATATACAAGAAAATGATGATTAAAGGAACAGGAGAAAATGAAGGAGAGAGATAGAGAAAAAAAGAGAGAAAGAAAGTAGAGAAAACACGAGGAGATAAATAAATGATAACAAACGCGAGAGAGAGACAAAGAGAAAGAGAGACAAAGAGAAAGAGAGAAAAAGTGAAGGAAGAGAGAAAGAGAGAGAGAGAGAGACAGTATCACTACCGGGAAGGCTCTGTATTACATTGCTGTTAAGTGTTTACGATTTGTCTGACAGCCTGACCTTCCTATCACCCCCTCCCTACCTCCCTTCACCCTTCCCTCCTTCCTTCTCCCCTTACCTCCTTCCTATACTACCCCCTTCCTCCCTTCCCCTCTCTGCAGGGGGGTGAGAACCTAACAGGGGGAGGGGGGTGGGGGGAGAGCTCAGAGGGGAGAAGTGGGGCCAGGAAAATATAGCGAGATGAAGAGGTTATGAGAGAGGGAGGAAAAGAGGTGAGATGGACAGACAGACGGGGAAGAGGTTGTTACTTGAGACAGGGAGACCAGACAGACAGACGGAAGAGACGATAATAGGACAGAAACAGGGAGAAAAGGAAAATAGAGACAAAGATAAATACAAAGAGACAGAGAGAGGAGATAAATAAGCCTAAATATGAGAGAGAGAGAGACAAAGATAAAGAGACAGAGGTATGGAAAGGGTAGAGATAAGTCAGGTCCCGGCAGCTGACCAATGAGGTGACCTCTCTCTCTCTCTCTCTCTCTCTCTCTCTCTCTCTCTCTCTCTCTCTCTCTCTCAACGTGTTTTGAATTATTTTTAATTATTCAACATTTGTCTGGCTACCATCTCCTCTTACAACAACAACAACAACAACAACACCACCACCACCACCACCACCAACAACAACAACAACAACAACAGCTTAACACAACCTGACCACCACCAACAACAACAACAACAACAACAACAACACCACCACAATACC